TTCCATCTCCAGTGTTTGTCCATCTCCAGTGTTTGTCCATCTCCAGTGTTTGTCCATCTCCAGTGTTTGTCCATCTCCAGTGTTCGCCCATCTCCAGTGTTTGTCCATCTCCAGTGTTCGTCCATCTCCAGTGTTTGTCCATCTCCAGTGTTTGTCCATCTCCAGTGTTCGTCCATCTCCAGTGTTCGTCCATCTCCAGTGTTTGTCCATCTCCTGTGTTCGTCTGTCCTCAGTCTTACACCGTGTAGAGAGAAGGTTCAGGTTCTCTGATGACCAGAGAAAAATCACTCAGACGTGTTTGTTGCATTCTTCTGTTGTTCCTGTTTTAGCGGTGCGTCTTCATCTCACACACACACTCACACACACACACACACACACTCTCAGACAGTCGGTGTGTTTTCTGCTCCTGTCGTCCAGTTCATGAGAGAAATGGCGGGAGCATGGCAGATGACGGTGGAGCTGAAGATGGGCTTGTTCTCTGACGCTCAGGTGGAAGCTGATCCTCTGGCAGCATCAGAGGAGAGTCAGCCAGTCCCTTGCCCTCCAGATGTGACCCCTCATCACATCTGGATTGAGGTCAGATAAGAGTCATGGTGCTGGAGGTTGTCGCTGTTGTTTATGTATTTATGTCCTTGTGAAATCGTCTTTATTCTCTTTAGTTTCTAGTTCAGAGGTTTGAGATAGCAAAATACTCCAGCGCCGATCAGGTGGAGATCTTCTGCATTTTGCTGCAGCGCTCTTTGTCTCTGAACGTTGGCGAGGCCAGGAGCAGCCTTAACCGCCACGTAGCTGCCATCGGACCTCGGTTCAGGTACCACACGTCCTACAGGAGAATCAGCAGCAGCTCCCTGAAACCTTCCACCGTGTCTTGAAGCAGTTTTCAGACCCCTTGAACTCTGCCACAATTTGTAATGTTACAACCACAGACACCAAAAGCTACATCATCGCATTATAGAGTGGAGGGAAACTTGAAACCGTGTATAAAACCTACTTTATCATTTCAAACAACAGTTCATAGTTTATACGGGTCTCAATGAGGAACTCAAACACAGACAACTAGAGATGCAGGACTACAGATGTGCCCAACACTTTTCAGGTTTGTTTTTGTAAAAAAGTTAAAAAGCATGGATCATTTTCCTCCTCCTTTACAATCGTGTGCTACTTTGTGTTGGTCGGTCGTAAAATTCAGTGAAATGCTTTTGTTTGTGGCTGGAACAAAATGTTCAAAAAGTTCAGGAGCTGTTGCGACTTTTTCAAACCACTAGTTAAGATGGAAATGAAAACGTTCAGGGTGTTCTGCTGCAGGAGTTCCTCATGAGTATTTTTCTGTTGTAGGTTGTTGACTCTGGGTCTGGCTCTGCTGCATTCAGACATTGTCTCTAATGCAACGGTCAGGAATGTTCTCAGAGAGAAGATCTACTCTACAGCCTTCGATTACTTCAGGTACCTGCACACTGACTCAACCAGAAGCTCGTAATAATTCAGTTCAGTTTATTTATCGTCTCCAGTGGTCTCCAAGTCGCAACAGAAGTCATCTCAGGGCACTGAACAAAAACATTCACATGCATTATAAATACCATTTAGTAAAGTTCTCTATCTAAAGAAGGAAGCCAGCAGACGTGTTGAGATGCTCAGCTCCAAAAACCACAACCTCAGTCTTGTCTGTGTTCACCAGGAGAAAATTAAGGGTCATCCAGGTTTTTATGTCTTTAAGACATGCTTGTAGTCTAAGTAGCTGATTGGATTCATTGGGTTTAATGGACAAACATAACTGTGAGTCATCAGCATAACAATGAACATTTATCCCATGCTGTTTAATAACTTTACCTAATGGAAGCGTAACAGCTTGGTCTTCAGTTATTAACACTTTTCAGACTATTTTCTATGTTGACTAATTGTAAACTTTCATTCAAACATATTTTACTGGTTATTTAACGAATTGTTCAGGTCTAATATCGAGTAGATGTTTATCTGAAATGGATTTTTACATTTCAGTCAGTCAGAAGCTCTGATGAAGACTGAGCACTGTGTCCCCTGTTCTTACTGTTGTTAATCTACTCGTGCATGTGCAGAAAACCTGATGACTGACTGGACCATAGTGCGCACGTGCAAACACTTACACTTTCAAGTAAAATGGAGTTTCTTGTGAAACGGTGCCAGCAGTTTAAAAACAATTCTTCTTCCACCCTGAAACCTGGATTAAAAAGTATTACCGTCAAATATTCAGATGGCAGAAAATAAACAGAAATGTTCCTGTTTCATTTAAAAACGCTGCTGGATGACCGGGCCCCAGATTAGAACTGAGAAGCAACAGAATGAAATCCACTTGGCTTGTTTTAAAAACCTTTGTGTCCTGGATGACTGAGAAGCCACACCACAAGTTTACATACATTACAGTATGTGATGTATGTAAACTTGTATCAATATTACAACATTATTATTTACTTTTGATGATCTGTGTCAGAAGGACGAGTTGGATTTACTGATTTCTGCAGCTCTGTAATTCTTTAAAAGGACTGAAGGTTCCCACTCAAGGTAAATCCCACATTAGTAGAGTAATTCTAATTCCCACACAAAAAAGTTTCTCCCTTAAACAAACTGGTCCAGATGACATGCTTTAATTTTCTTTGGTTCTAATGCCCACAGTTCAGGAAACATTAATTCAGTTCACTTTATTTCTGTAGCTCCAACAGAAGTCGTCTCAGGACACTGAACAAAAACATTCACAAACTTTATAAAAGACAATTATTAAAGTTCTCTCTCTAAAGAAGCAGCAGGTTGAGTTGAATCTTCACTTCATCACAGTCTCCGTCCTGAGCGAGAACAGAGGAGACAGTGGGAAGAAAAAACTCCCTTTAACAGGAAGAAACCTCCAGAAGAACCAGCTCAGGACGAACATCTGCTTCAACCAGCTGGTCTGAGAGGACAGGAAGTAGACACAGACAGAATGACAGGCCCAGGTTTCTATAGTCCAGGTGTACTTTCTATAGTCCAGGTGTACTTTCTATAGTTCAGGTGAACTTTCTATAGTTCAGGTGTACTTTCTATAGT